GGACCTAGGTATAATTTATCCATTTAGTTTTAGACGGAAAACTCACGGCTGTTAGTTTTAGGTGCGCATTGATACAAATTTCTATTTTTGATTGTGCAAATTGAGATTTTTGATATTTGAGAATGCAAATTGAGATTTGAACGACTTTCGAGATGTAATTTGCAATTAGGCGGTGAATACACTTCTGGTCCTTTTGATAATGTTTTGGCCCATAAAGGTATTGTTCAGCAATTATCCAGTCCTCACACTCCTCAACAAAATTGGATGGTAGAATGCAAACATAGATATCTCATAGAAATGGGTTTAACACTTTTATTCCACAATCAACCCCACTCCACTTGTGGGTTGAAGCTTTCTCTATGGCGGTTTATCTAATTAACAGGCGGTCCTCACCTCTTTTGAATAATAGCAACTCATTTTACATGCTTTTTGACCACAATGTTGGTTTTTCTTTAATTCAACCTTTTTGGTGTTTATGATATCCGGTGTTACGAGAGTATCAGAAACACAAATTTAGCCCAAAAAATTTACCATGTATTTTCTTAGGCATCAGTGAATTTCATAAGGGATCTCGTTGTTTGGAACCATCATCAGGTTGAGTGTATTTTTCTTGCCACATCATTATCAACGAAACTATATTTCCTTATTTTTTTTGGAAGGTAAAATGTATTAAAATAAAAAGATATACAGTGGTAATCACCCACAAATTGTACAGTGACACCACGTAGGATTCAAACACAAACATCAAAAAATCCAAAAGGGCAAAAAGGCCCAAAACACAATCAGAGCATGTTAGACAAATCAGAGCATGAAAATCTGCCCCAAAACACCACTGATATGAAAGAAAGCAGACCATATCTCCACTTTTGTGATTCCATAGTAGGTCAAGTGTAGCAGCAAATCAACACCAATAACATAGACCATAACTAGCAGACCATAACTCCACTCACATGATACCATAGTAGGCCAAGTGCAGAAGCAAATCAAGGCCAACAACATAGCCACAACAACAACAACACAGCCACCTCAAAAAATAAAAACAAAAATAGAGATCCATCTTAAGTTAGGAATTCTGAGAGAAGTATAGGCCTTGAGCAAGTACTTCCCCAAGAATCCCAAATTGAGATGCCATGAAGCTTCAAATCATTGATGCAGCAAGCTTCAAAACTAGAACTTTAATGGAGACATGTTTCAGGCAGGTTCCATTGAAGCAAGGTCGAGGCATTATGATGGTTGCGCTTGAATTTCAAGGTAAAGAGCCTCTCCCTAATGGTCTACTCAACCATCTTGATGAGAGTATGAGAGTCACCAGCTTGGTTTATGAATATTCTTTCATTTCTTTCCTTCCAAATATGATAAATAGTAGTAGTGAGACTGATCTTCAAGACAATAGTGGTCATCTTCTTACCTTTCCACTGTTGAGCTGCCCATTCATTTCTTTCCTTCCATTGCCTTTGTTGTCCTTGTTGATTGAACTGAAGAAGAATGGAGTTCCAAACTCTAGAGGAGTATTCACATTCAAAGAAGAGTTGGTTGTGGATTTCATTTGTCTTTCTATGCAAAATGCATTGAGTGTCAACTTCATTTGAGAAAGCTTGGATTCTATCTTTAGTGCTCAATCTCATTCTTAATGGCTAACCAAAAGATAAAGGTCATTCGAGGTATTGACTGACCAAACTATACCAAATTATGGCAAGAAACCATACTAGTTGCAATCCTCAAGTGATCCCATGCAGATCTAGCAAAGTATTTCCCATCAGTGGTATGGGACCATCTCATAAAATCATTTCTGGTTTGATCAGGGAGGTAGATTGGCATGTTGTTAAAAATATTATGTACACCCAGATGAGTAGAAGTAGTTCTGTTCCATTGGTGGTTGGTAATAACTCTACTGACTTTTGCTTCCCTTGGAATTCTTGCTTGTTGCACTATATTAGAGTTTCTTCTTGGTAACAGGGGTCCATATGGATGCCAATTGTCATGCCAAAAGCTTGTGTGTTGCCCATTCCTTACAATGTGCACCATTATAGGTCTTAGGATTTTCCTGAGTTTTAAAAGGTTCCTCCAAGTGTGTGAGTAGGTTTGTGGAGTTTTAAGCTCCTATAAGCTTCTATCCCTTATATAGTAAGCATGTATTCATGGGTCCATAGGTTTTCCTTGTCATTAAACAATTGACACAGATGTCACAGGAGCAAGGCATTATTCCATTCCTTCAACCCTTTTATACCCAAACCATCCTCACTTTTCGGCTTGCAAACATCATTCCATGCAACTTTCGCTACATTGTATTTGAGCTCAGTGCCTTTCCAAATGAAGGCCCTCAAAGTTTGTTCAAGCTTGTCCAAAACTTTATGTGGTAAGCTCAAGTGGGTAGCCCAAAAGACATCCATGCTACTAAGCACTGAAATTACCAGCTGAAGCCTTCCTGTGTAGGATAGGAACTTGTTGAGCCAAGAATTAACCTTGGTTTCAACCTTTTCAATGAGGCCCATGCAGTGTTGACTCTTAAGTTTGGTGGATACCAGTGGAACTCCAAGGTATTTGATAGGTAAGTCACCAATAGAGAACCCAAGTATCTCTATGATTTGTGACCCCTCCCCCTCAGGAACTGCACTTAAATATATATTGCTCTTTTTAATATTGGGAAGTAAGCCAGAGAGTTGGCCAAATTGGTCCAAGATCTCTTCAAGGTTTGAACAGAAATCACATCACCATGAAAAAATAACATCAGATCGTCAACAAATGAGAGTTGAAACATTTTGAGCTTTGAGCATCTCCAATGATACCTAAACTGGGGGTTGGAGTTTATGTTGTTTTGTGTTATCAGGGACAAAAACTCCATAGCAATTATAAAAAGATAGGGAGATGATGGATTTCCCTGTCTCAATCCTCTAGCATTAGAGAAGTAACCAGCTAACTCACCATTCACATTAACTGAGAACATGGCTGTAGTAATGTAAGTATGGATCCATTTTCTCATTGTCATTGGATAATTAAAGGCTTCCAAGGCATCAACCAGAGAATCCCACTGGACAATGTCAAAGGCTTTCCTAATGTCAACTTTTAGTGCACATCTGGGGGGACCTAAATCTCTATGGTAGTCTCTCATAAGCTCCTGAGTTAACAGGATGTTGTCCCCAATTCTTCTACCTTGGATGAAGGCTGCTTGGTTAGGATTGATAAGGTTTGGAAGACATTTTTTGATTCTATTGGCTATAAGCTTTGAGATTGCCTTATAAAGAGTGTTACAACATGAGATTGGTCTGAAATTTCCCATAGCTAAGGGGTTTGGAACTTTGGGGACCAAGGTGATGATTGTATTATTTAGCTCCCTAAGTAACTGACTAGTAGTCAGGAACTCTTTAATTGCTTTAGTAATATCATGCCCAATAATTGGCCAAGCTTTCTTAAAAAATAGAGCATTAAACCAAACCCATCTGGGTCGGGAGCCTTATGGTCATTTAGAGAGAAGATTACCTCCTTGATTTCTTCATTAGACACCTCTCTAACCATTTCAGTAGCAATGTGTGGAGGGATTTTGCTTTGAACCACTGACTGCATACTTGGATTGGGGCTGCAAGTCTAGCTTGGCCAAATAAGTTGACATAATAATTAACAGCTTCTTCCTTCACTGCATGTTCTTCCTCTGCCTTTGATCCATGCACCCTATCGAGCGTAAATATCTTTTTCCTATTTCTTCTGTTATTCATTGTCTTGAGAAAATATGAAGTGTTCCTGTATCCTTCTTTGATCCATTGGACTCAGGATTTCTGCTTATAAAAAATTTCTTCATCATTGGCTGCTTTAGTATAATCCTTCAGGAGCTATATTTCTTTATGTCTCCATGCAAAATCAGTTGGGTTAGTGTCCAGCTTTCTTTGGCATATCATTAAAGCGTCTCTTGCCTCTCTTGCTGTCACAGAGACATCCCCAACTTCCTTGGTAATCCCTTTGAAAATAACTTAGAGACCTTTGATCTTGCTGACAACTTGAAATTGGTAACTTCCTTGGACATTTTGAATCCAGATTTGCTGAACAAGGTCCAAAGAGTTCTCTCTTGCTGCAATGTGGTTGAAAATTTTAAAGGGGCATTTTATTTTGGGGATCCTTGGATCAATTTGGACAAATGCAGGGCTATGATCAGATACAACTGCAGGAAGAAAGTCAGCCATAGACATTTGGAATCTGTCAGTCCAAGCTTCATTAACTAGAACTCTATCCAGCTTTCTGGCCACAATGGCTTCCCCTTCTCTTATGTTGCTCTAAGTAAATTGAATCCCAGTATACCTAAGATCCATAAGTTCTGAATCTTGCAAACAAACATCAAAATCCTCCATTGATTGACACCAACTACTTTGACCTCCCGTAGTTTCACTTGGTGTTCTGATAGCATTGAAGTCTCCTAAAGCAACCCATGGTTCAGTAGCAACAAAATTTGAATGGTGCCTAAACCCCCTCCATAGAGTTCTCCTCTCTATGCCATCATTTCACCTATAGACAAAATAAGCAAAAAATTGTGAGTTGCTTTCAAAATGTTTTACCAAGCAATGTATCACTTGGTCAGTTTCCTCAATTTTATTAATTTCCACTGTATTTGGGTTCCACCCAATCCAAATTCTTCCAAAATGATGGCTACCATAATTTTCCAAGTAATTCCAATTTCGAAACACATTATGTATCAACCTATCTTTGTTCACACTCCTGACTTTTGTTTTAACAATTCCCAAAAGGTGAAGTTGTTGGTCCATTATCAACCTCCTAGCTTCTTCCTGCTTTGAGGGTTTGTTAAGTTCTCCAATGTTCCAACATGCAATCTTCATTGAGGGGGGGAGTACCTTCCTGAGAATTAGGTGCTCAGTAACCTTCGATTTCCTCATCTCATGGTCTTTTTTTTTTCACTTTCTTCTTTTTGCTTCCCAGTGGATGTTTATTTCCATTTGTTTTTTCCTTCTCCTTAGTCACCTCATTGTATATTGAGGTACTAGATTGAGCTTCAAAAACTAAGTCCATGATGATTTCGCCTCCCAGCTAGGACTCAGGTCTGCAAATTTGTTCCTAGATGTAATCCTCCTAGTGTCCTGTTGGGGAGAGGCAACTTGCTTCACTATGATTTCTGTGACTTGAGTGTTAACCTGGGGATACCTTTCAATCTCAGTACCAGGCACCAATAAGTTGTCTGCAACTCTCTTTTTATTAGTCTCCACAATTTCAGTATCAAGCACTACAGATGCCACTGCTTTGCCCTTGTTTATACACAAGACTGGTTGGTCTGTGCACAGATTTTGAACAGCAGCTTGCTCCTCCACATTTATACACAAGACTGGTTGGTCTGTGCACAGATTTTGAACAACAGCTTGCTCCTCCACATTAATCCTAGCCTTAGACATCATTTTGGGGCATAAGGACTCATTGTGCCCAAACACATCACATGCATTACACATCTTGGGCATCCATTGGTATTCTACCTTTATTTCCATAGTTTCAACCATCCCATTGATATCCACATTTAGATCAAAGGCTTCAATTAATGGATTTCTGGCATTCACTTCAACACAGATTCTTTCAAAGTTTATTCTCTATTTCTTGGAAGTGGGCGTATCAACATGTAGAGGTTTCCCAACATATAGAGGGGAATATTGTGGAGTTTAATCCACAATGGGATTATGGAGTGATTCTCCCTGGTTAACAATAGGTTTGGTTGCCATTTTTGGAGTATTAATGGCCTACCCGATAACAGCCAAGGGCCAAGGGCCAGACTCATATATTTTTGCTCTAGATTCATCATTCATGAATTTGAAGTAGTAAAATCCATTGTCCTTTGCCAATGCCTCCAAAAGACCTTGACTATCCCACATCGTGTGTGTCAGGTAACTCACAGTTGTAAAAGGAAGCTTCTTTTCAATGAAGTATCCCACAAGATGGTTCTGCCATTCAAGACATCCTTGCCTACCAATTTCTTCAGGGGGATGGACCACAATTCTATTATTTTCCATTTTTGGCTCAAAAAATTGGAGTTTCATTACCTGGGTTTGGCATTCAGTATGAATGGCTAAGTGGTTTGTTGTTCGTCCTTCTTTAAGGACCTAGTTCCAAGGTGCTCTTGGTCCGGGATGTTTTTTGTTGGGCCTCCGGCAGGTTAGGATGAGCCTTTGTTGGGTTTTGCTTGTCTTTTGGCAACACATCAACATCAACCTGCTTTTTTGAAGTTTCACCGCTAGATCTCGATTTGTCGGTAAGAGTAATTTCACCAATCGCCACCTCGCCTGTTTGCACCTGTGTTCACCCTGTTTTTCCCTTATCTCTTGAATGGGTTCCAGGTGGAGCATTAGAGCTCAGCTCCTTTGTCCCATCTGGGTTCACTTTGGCATTTACGCGAGCTTTTGGTAGCTCAATATTTCCAGATCTACAAACTATCTTGGCTTTAATGGTTGTAGGGTCCATGGGTTCAGATGTGGTGGTAAAGCAAGGTAGGTGGGGGATAAATAGGGGTTTTGGGTTTGTGAGAAAGAGACAAAGGAGTAAACGGAGAGAGAAAGGGAAGGTGGAAATGGGAGTGGGTTGGTATCCAATTTGTATGAATGAAAATCGGAATCAGTGGTGAAGGTCGATTGGGTGGGTTTCATGGTGGCTGAGAGAGAAAAGCACTCATGGCTAAGAGCGAAGAGCACTCATCGAGTAAATTTTTACATTGTATGTTCCAAGCGACATGATTGTGTCTGGTATATAAGACTTTTCTTTTATAGAGAAGTTTCAAAAAGATAAGTAATTGATTTTAAAATCCATAATTTTGGAAATACTGATACCAAGATTCAAAATGTGAGAAGTTTTTATATTTCCTTATTGTTCCCGTGGCTCTCTTCAATTGTAGTCCACTCTCCAAGGTGCAACTCTTCAATTCGATCACCTAGACCACTGGCTTTATCCTAGGATGTTCCTTCCTCCTCAAAGGCCACTACTCATTGCTCCACCGTTGCATCCCTCCCTATTGGTGGTTGCTGAAGCTATTTCCAAATAGTCTCCTCCTTCATTGCTCCACCCAGCAACATTGGTTCAGCCACTGGACAAACTGACATCACCCCACCAGGATCACCTCACTCCAACTGGTGGACACTTGGAAGTTGTCATTCCTCTTCTACCCCCATTGCCTCAACAGACCTCGTATATTCCTACTTCCACTTCCACCGAAAGGCACATCGTTCCCCACGTGCCCATGATTTTGTTGTGTCCTTGGCTATTTCTCCTGGTCATTCTTGCTTCGTTGCTACCTTGGATGCTGCTCATGAACCTTTGTCACCGCAGCATTACAAATTCCTCATTGGTGTGTTGCAATGGAGGACGAGTTAGATGCGCTTCATCATAATCACACATGGGTCTTGGTTCTGCGTCATCTCGACATGCATGTAATCCCAACAAAATGGGTATTCAAGACCAAATTTCTACGCTATGGCACCATTGAGCGTCATAAAGTTCGGCTTGTCGTTAAGGGATATTCTCAACTTCATGGCATTGATTTCAATGAGACTTTCATTCTCGTCGTCAAGACCACTACTACTCGAACCATACTCTCTGTGGCCGTTACTCATAACTGGACTATCCACCAATTAGACATCAAAAACACCTTGTTGCACGGGACTCTCAAAGAGGAGTTTTATGTTTCACAACCACCTGGCTTCATTGACTCTACTTGCCCATAACATGTGTCGTCTTCATAAAGCACTATGCGGCCTCCGTCAAGAACCACGTGCCCGGTTTGAATGATTTAGTCATCACCTATATGCAATCGGATTCCATTAAAACCTAGCAAACCATTCTATGTTCACTCTTCATGATCATGGTGCTCTCATTGTTATCCTACTCTACGTCGATGACATGATCATCACCATCAGTTCTGACCTTCTTCTCCATGATACAATCACCAAACTAAGTCTTGAATTCACCATGAAGTACCTTGGCCCTCTTCACTACTTCTTGGGCATTGAAACCTTCTCTTCTTCTCGCGTCATGTTTCTTTCTCAGGCCAAGTATTCTCATGACTTGCTCCACTGTGCCTCCATGTTGGACTGCAAACCAATTCAAACACCCATGACTATAAACCAAAAGCTCTCAAGTGTTGTTCTGCCCCTTGAAGATCCCACTCATTTTTGGAGTCTTGTAGGAGCCCTACAATATTTAACGATAACACAACCTGATATTGCCTTTAGCGTTAATTTGGTCTGTTAACATATGCATTCTCCTACAACCAACCATCTCCATGTGGTTAAGCGCATCCTTTGTTATGTGAAAGGCGCCTTTCATCATGGACTTTATCTTAGTCATCTCACTTCTCTTGATTTAATTGGGTATAGTGATGCCGGTTAGGCAGGTTGCCAGGACACCCGTTGAACAACCACCAACTAAAGTATCTTCCTTGGTGGTACATGTATATATTGGAGCTCCAAGAAACAGCTTATCGTTGCTCACTCGAGTGTCGAAGCCGAATATAGAGCTCTTGCTCATGTAGCCACCGATATAACTTGGATAACCTACTAACTTCAAGATTTACAGGTCACCTTACCCATGATTCCAGCTTTATTCAATGATTACAACAACGCCATGTCCATGGCCTATAATCCAGTCATCCATGCCCACACCAAACACATCAAACTCAACTATCATTTTGTTCGGGACAAGGTAGCCTCTGGATAATTGCATGTTCAGTTTATTCCTTTCGACCACCAACTAGCCGACATTTTCACCAAAAGTTTTCCAAACTCTCTCCTCACCAATTTCACACACAATCTGGGTGTGTGGGATGTTGATCTTCCTTTTTACAGTGCACTAGTCTTTCAAAAATTTGGTATACGATGACACTTGTTTTATCGCATCCAAGAAGGGATGTTGATATTTACTTGTTTGAAAAATTAAAAAATCTCTACATATATCTTTCAGTAATGTTAGACAAACTTAAAATATAGACTTGATCATGTGTGTAAAACCCAATAAATTTAAACTTTTTTACAAAAAGGGCAAAACGGTAATTTGTTGCTACAGTACGGGTTATAAACCTGAATTTTTTTACATCTTGAATGATGAAACGGACCTCGCCATTGGATTCTTCTCGCGAAATCTAGTTATCCAGTCAAATTTCATCGAATTCCGAGATAGTCGAATTTTTTACATTTTATGAGGCGGACGAGTCTCAGGTGATCTAAAAACAGAATTTCTAATAAAATTTTAAAATTTAGAAAATAATTTAAGGCAAATTAAAAAAAAAATTAATTTGAACTTGAATCGGAGCAAAATTTAATAGCTTGGGACAAAAATGGACCCGAAAAAAAGAGGGCTATGTGGCCAATTGTGGACCAAGCATTGGGAGACTATAAAAAGGGGAAGAAAATCAAATTTTCTCCCCCACAATTGCTCAGCCGTTGTCGATAGAGAAGAGAGGGAAAAGAGGGAAAGAAATCTATTTCTCTCTGCGATCTACTACTCCACGGGCTTCAAATCAATTCGGGCCAAGAGTAAAAGTCGACCTCCTTGTCGTGGGCTACGCGACTATACCAAAAGGGAGGGTTTTATCGAAGTTCCAAAAATGAGCTTGGGATAAATCAATGGTTTTGGGCTTGATTGAGATTCTTGGAGGTTCCACCAAGTGGGTTACGCTTCAAGAGGTAGGGTTCCTTCCTACTCGAGTTTATTTTACAACCTAGGGTGTAGTATGTAATGGGTATGTGGATAAAAAAATTTTATCATTACCTATGTTGTGGAAATTGATAAAATGGGTATTGAAATTGGGTAAAATAAAATTTTACCTTCAAATGGGTTGTGAATTAGACTCAACGTGATCTATGAAATTGGGTGTTATGTGGGCATGTTGTGTGTTTACTTTATGCCTTAAAAATTTAGTGTGCTGTTAGCATATGTTATGTAGTGACATGCTTGTGAATTGTGGTTGAAAATGAAATGTTGATATATGTTCATTGATATATGACATTATGAGAAAATTTGATGATTATAAGCCTCAGATATAAATTGCCATGGAATTTGTTTGAATGTAGTTAATTTAGCTCATGTGACATCCTTTACATATGGGCTATGAAGCAAGGATACGGATACGGGATACGGATACGATACAATACGGGTACGGGGATACGGCAAAACCAAAAAAAATAGGATACGGGTACAGCTAGGATACGTCCATAAAATATATATTTTTTTAAATTTTTTTATTATATTTAATGTGATAATTATGATTTATAAAGTAAATCACACTTCTATCAAAGATATATAATAATAACTAACCATCAGAGTCAGTCAATCGTCAGTGCGAGTAAGAGAGAGAGAGATAGACGATCGTCGTCGAGTATCGACTAAAGAGAGTGGGGGGCTTGACGGGCTGTGGAAGAAAAGTGTACAGGTTTTAGTCTTTTTAACTTTTAGTTTAATAATATATATATTTTTTTTGCAAATAAGGGCCTAAATATATTGCTCTTGTGCCCATATACTTTTTTAAAATTCGAGTAATACCCCTGTTGTATCCTTATGCGTATCCAAAACGTATCCGACCGTATCCAAAAACCATTTTTTTTTTAATTTTAGGATACTTCTCAGACGTATCCGATACGTATCCGACGCGTATCCGTATCCAAAAATATCCGATACGGATACTTTGACCCTTTTGAAGCATCCGTGCTTCATAGCATATGGGCATGACATGGATTAGGCAATGGTGCATTGCATTGCATTTGCACCGGGGAAACGCATCCATAGCCATGAGTGTGGGTGTGTGTGTGCATAGTAGATATCAAACACCAAGAAGGTGGATGATGGTGGGCTCGGGAAAGTTGAATTGAAAATTCGACTGAGTCGCACGGTTGCATGAAAAAGAATTGGATCGGGGTAGCAAGAAGAGCTAGACTATCCTCGGGTGAGAGACCCGGTGTTCGAATATGCACTTCCGTTGGTATAAAAGCCCATAAAGTGTGTCGGTGTATACAGAACCGTTGGTGGAAGTCCATGAATTTCGTGTTGGTTGGGGGACCGTTGGTGTAAATCCATAAATATCCACCCCAAGAAAGACCCCGAGATTTTAAATAGTCATTTGGGTGTGTAACACAAATGGCGGGGGCTTGAAAAGCCCGATTTTGATACTCACTACATAACTTGGGGTAAAGGTAAACGGTCGGAGCTAGAAAAGCTCGGTTTTATACACATTGGCATGCATGTGTTGTGGAGTTGGTAAGGGCTCGAGTAAATTGCATGAATGAGTATGATTTCATTTCATGGCAAGATATGTTAGATTCTAACTTTGATTTGCTTAAATCTTGGTTGGAATGATTGTTGTTGGAAAATATGGTATGTGAACATTGCAGATACACTTAGGTTGGGGAATAGCCTCTATAGGAAACATTCTATTGGGCATTGACTCACCCTATAGGGAAAACATTTCAGGTGCGGGGTTC